CGCATGCCCTACTTTGGATGCCAGCATTATAGAAGAAGAAATTGGTGGGGCAAGGATTGGATTTCTGCCTCCTTCCTCCAGGAGCACCCCAAGCACAAAGCCCTACTGCAGACTTCACAAGGTTGCGAGTAACACAAAGTGAGCTCTACTCAGGTTCCTTCCAGTTTGCCATCAACACCTAACTATGAAGCATATTTTCAAGCCTCAACCATGTGAACAAAATGCACCTTTAAGCAAACAGGAAAAAATGACTATGCAAAATGTGAAAGCATTACACCTATTTACATTAAAGCACATGAGCAGTTTTCAGCATCTCCTCAGAAGTTGAAAACACCTCTTGTAACTACAGTGGGATAAAAAGTTAAGCACAAACTTGTCAACACAAATCTATTAGTTTAGAAATAAGAACTTACGTAGAACTTTAGAAAAATAGGGTTTTCATTCAATTTGCACCAAATCTGATTAGAACTCTGCATGGATGACATTAGGCAGAAGATGTTCTGTTTTAAAATTAGGTCTGGATTGCATTTGTAAGTGCCTGGTTTATACGATCCCAATAAGTCTACAGAGAGAGTATAAATGCAGTTTATGCTTCCTAAGAGGACTCCTTTTGCCTTCCTAGGTTGGTGTTACATATAATGCTCAACTATTATGGATTTAAGAATAAGAATTCCTACAGCCTGTATCAATAATAAAATAAAAATGATTAACAGCAAACACTAATAATGCCTTCTAAAGGGTGAAGTATTTTTTAAAAGGAAATCTTAGATAACAGTTTTGGACACTGCTAAACAGTTCATAGAATCTCAGGTTGGAAGGGATCTCAAGAGATATCGTGTCCAATCTCCCTGCCAAAGCAGGTACCCTACAGTGGGTCACACAAATAGGCATCCAGTTAGGTCTTGAATATTTCCATAGAAGGTGGAAAGGTGTACAGCCTCTCTGAGCAATCCTTACCCATAAACTTTTTCCTCATGCTTGTATGAAACATCCTATGTTCAAGTTATAGGCTATTACTCCTCCTATTGCTGTGCACCACTAAGAAGCCTCATCCATTTGCCTCCCACCTCCCTTGAGATATTTAAGAACATTGATCAGATCCCCTCTCAGCATTCTTTTCCCTAGGCTTCAGCCTTCTATCATCTTGATGGCCCTCCACCAGACTACTACTAGGAGATCCCTGTCTTTTTTAAACCGGGGAGCTCAGATCCAGACGCAGTACTCCAAATGTGACCACACCAGGGCAGAGTAGAGGAAGATCACCTCCCTTCACCTGCTGGCCACAAACTTTTTGTAATGCACCCAGGATACCATTGATTTTCTTGGCCACAGGGACACACTGTTGGCTCACGGTCAACCTGTTCTCCACCAGGACTCCCAGTCTTTTACCACAGAGTTCCTGTCCAGCAGGTCATCCCCTAACCCATATAATAACCTGTGTATGTGGTTATTCCTCCCCAGGGGCAACACTCTACACTTGCTCTTGTTAAACCTCATCAGGTCCCTCCCTGCACAACTCTCCAATCTGTCCTGGTCTTGTTGAATGGTAGCGCAGCCTTCATCAGCCAATGAAAAACAGAAAAATGCTACATAACTTTTTGAGTCCTCCACCAAAGACATGAAATTGCATTGGATTCTCAAAGGCATTTATTTTCTGGAAAGTAAAGGTAATTTTGAAGTAATCTATATTAAATAATTATGAGTGATGAACTTGTTAAATTACACTTCCAGAGGTTTTTTTATGCTCAGAAGACAGGCTAATGCAGAGAATATTTTGTGAGAATTAAGGTACTTGGATAAGAATTGTGAAGTCTCCCGTATCACATTCAACTCATCTCGACAATGAAAATTAAAACCTCTAGTTAACATGCATCAGGAAATAAATCTCACAGCTGGGTTCCTAAATCATTTCATCTAATACTGTTTGTAAGTTATCTGTTCAGCTTCAACAAAAACAATTACGAACTGTGTTACATATATGAACCAAATGGCTCGTACTGAAAAAGGAGAAAAAAAATCATAGAATCATGGAATCATAGAATAACAGAATGGCTTGAGTTGGAGGGGAACTTCAAGAATCATCAGGTTTCAATCCCCTGCCACATGCAGGGTTGCCAGCTGCTAGATTAGGTGCTAGATCACATTGCCCAGGGCCCCATCCAGCCTGGCTTTAAACACCTCCAGGGATAGAGCATTCAAATCTCTCCAGGCAACCCGTTCCTGCACCTCACCACTCCCTCTTAAAAACTTCCCAAACAGCTAATCTAAACTTGCCCTCCTTCAGTTTAAAAACCATTCCCTCTCATCCTATCAGTATATACTCAAGTAAAAAGTAGATTTCTCTCCTGATTATAACCTCCTCTTAAATATTGGAAGACCACAATGAGGTCTTCCCACAGCTTTCTCTAATCCAGGCTGAACAAGGCCAGCTCCTTCAGCCTGTCTTCATAGGAGAGCTGCTACAGCCCTTGGATTATCCTCATGGCCCTCCTCTGGACCCAGAACAGTTCCACATCTTTCCTATGCTGGGGGCCTCAGACCTGGATGCAGTACTCCAGATGGGGCCTCATAAGGGCAGACTAGATGCAGACAATCACCTCCCTCACCCTGCTGGCCACTCCTGATGAAGCCCAGGATACCATCGGCCCAAGTGCACACTGCTGGCTCATGAAACATTTTCATTAACCAGGACCCCATGTCCTTCTCAGCAGGGTTAGTCTCATGAAGCTCTTCTCCCAGTTCGTATCCATATCTGGGATTGCCTTGACCCAAGTGCAAAAACTTGCACTTTGTTGAACATCATTAGGTTCAGAAGGGCCCACTTTTCAAGTTTATCAAGTTCCCTGTAAGATTTAGCTAATTTGGCTGTTGCCAAAAAGAAAACAAAAACAATAACAACAACAAAAAGTAATAGTTCTCTAATAGTTGCTGTATCTAAGAGTCTAGAGGGCTACAAGCAGTTTGTGTAGTGGATTTATTGGTAAAGTTTAACAAAGTTCAAAATTTATGTGGAATAATTCTATCACTCTAAATCCATTTATATTATATTATTTTGGCACCAGATTTCTGACAGAGTTGGTGACTTAGAGGAGAGGATGGTCCAGACCCTTCAGGGCTTACAAACTAAAGAGCTACAACTAAGGACCTATGTAGTAACTCTCACACATTACCAGCAAAGCACTAATGGAATGGTGGATGAAATTGTGCTTTGATTATGCTGTTAAATCACAGGGGATGGGTTTCTGATCACAGTTATAATAGCGGTATTTTTTCATCATTTTGAGTCCTCTTAATAACTACTGAAGAATATATTTTTTTTCACTTTAATATATGAAAAGATTTCTAAAAGGTTTTCTTAGTTAGTAAGAATGCCCTGCCTTTCCATCTGTCCTCAGAAAATACTGCAGGTTATTTCAAGAACTGATGAAAAATTAATTCTAAAAATAATTGGACAAAAAAGCAAACAAGCAAACAAAAAACATAAGAGCTTTACATCATGCCTAATAAATGTAAAGATACCCTTCTGGTATTAATGTATTGCATAGACATACACTCACACGAAGGGATCTCTGAGGTCCCCAGTTCAAATCCCTTTGCTTCAAGTGGAGTCAACTAGAGCAAACTAGAATAGGTTGCTCAAGGCCTTCTACATTTAGGCTTCGAGTAACTCGAAGGATTCAAACTCCACAACATTTCCAAACATCCTTCACATGCAAAAAGAGTTGTTGCTTTTTTTCTTTTCTTTTGCTTTCTTTAGATTTTATTCTTTTTTCTTTCTGTTTTTTTTTTTTAATATGTAAGTGGACTAAGACTTCATGGGCAAGTTCACCGCCTCTTCTCCTTAAAAATGAGCAGAAAAATAAGCCTCCCTATTTTGAATGGAAAAGTTTATAGTTATAGTTAAACAAACAGTTATTCAGATGGGGTGGAAAACAGATGTCTTCTAATATGCATACAGGGATGTCAGGAGACTACAACATCAGATAAAGACAGACAGACAGATTAGCATATCTGAATCAAAGACATGCCAGGATATAAAAGGGAATGAAGATATGCCATTGGCATTTTGAGTATGAACACCTGCAGAAACCTTTCAAGTTACAAACACAGATAGTTAAAGAGCCAGCTACTGCTTCCAGAGAGATACAGAAAGTATTCAGCTCCATATAATGCCACTTCAAGACAAGCTGCTGTTACAAACCAGACAGTAATCTATCACAGCCTTTCCTGGTGATCCTAATTTTATCTACTCACCATTCATAAATTCGATTAACCTCTTTAGCAAGAACAAAGGCTTTGCTTACAAGTATGCAGTGGACTACACCAAATCCTCACTGCTAAGTATTACCAGCAACACGAAGTCAAACTAAAGTAACAGAACATAGGCAAACTTGTAAACTTCAGATCAAAATCATCTAGACAATAGGTAAGGTAGTTCTCTTTCCTGTATAAAATTCTCTGTGCTGTATAGTCTACCACTCTTAACAGTAAACTAAAAGATCTTTGATATTTTAAAAAATGTCTTAAAATGTCTCATACGTTAAAACTGGGAGGTATAAGTAAGGTTATGACACTTTACAACGTTCTCAGATTGTTACAGAACTCATTTTCAACTTCAATTCATTCAAAGAAAATTATTCTGCAGAGAGGCAAAAGGACAAAGCAATGACCAACTGTACAAATGTCATCAACAGAATAAATTAGAACTGTTAAACTGTAACCGTTCTTGTCAAAGAGGAAGAAAATTAGCAGTCATCAGTTCATACTACTTTGTAACAACCTCATCTAAAAATGCAAAAGGAAACATTGCAAACCAATTATAAACAAGTATAAGAATCTTCTCAGCTGAAAAAAAAACAAAAACAGGAAGGGGAGAAACAAAGGTGTATGTTCAAAAATGAGGCAAAAGAGAGAGTAAAATACAGCTGTTGGTTTTTGGTTTGTTCTTTTTTTTTCCCCAAAACCATGGCCATGTGCATAATATAGATAAAGGTCCTTACCTTTTTCACTGACACTTTCACTTTCTATCTCCACATCTTCACAGCTAGTATATTCTGGTGTTGATGCCCCTTCTTCCTCTGAGCTACTAACTGACATCTGCCTTTTCTTTCCGCCTCTTTTTGCTCTATGAGGCTTTGGAGGGGATGGCCGCACTGATTCCGACTGGTCAGAGCTAAGGGAATCATTCCTTAGCATGGTCTCCATTTTCTCCCGCTTTGCTTTTCGCATGAGAATAGCAGAGCTAGGATCAAGGCGGCTCTGTTTTTTAAAGGTATCGTGGTTCTTGTATTCTACGTGCTCTATGGGAACTGGACTATGCCTGGGAGTTGGTGGACTATGATTAGTTAATTGTTTAGAAACAGAAATTCTTACATCACCTGTTCTGTCTATAGAGTACGACCTCTGAGTTTCCACAAGAGATTTTCTGTCCTGAGTTCCCTGTAATTGTGAGCGTTTTCCTAAGTTATTCTCAGGTACCTCCGCTTCCTCCATTTCTGTGTGTGGCAAAGCTACATCACTGTGTCTTCTCTCATGCCGTGCTTTAGAAACCTTGGCATGCATGCGCATTTGCTGTTCCTCAGGATGTGGTTTAACAGGGTATCTTGCCAGATTGGGGTCACTCCTGTACCGAGTATGATATTCATCTTCCTTCCTTTGTTTTTCATCATCAGGCACTTTGCCTTCCTCAAGTTTTTCTGGCAAGTCGGGATAGTCTTGTGACTTCCCTTTTTCCAGTCTTCTATTTTCATGCCTTTCTTTACGTTCCCTATCACCTGCTGGTCCTTCTTTTTGAAGTGAGGCTTTTGGCACACGCTTACGCTCACCCTTTACAACTTTGCCATTCTGGTCTGAAACCAACATCTTCTTCCTACAATGAAAAAGGAATACGGTAATTTGAAAAAATTAATGCACAAATGAATACTTGCATAAAATACTGCAATACACATACAGTAATATTCCAATATACAGCGCCAAGCCAAAGCCAATAGGACTGATTCTGTGGCACTGAGCCTTCCTTTCCTCTTCCACATCGATACATTTTTGGATTACGTATCATAGATTTTCCACATATGTACTCTATGGGACAGTCAAAGATGCATATGATCCAAGTTAAGACCCTGTCCCCTTTTTTCCTCCATTGTCTTCTTCATGAGCTGTTGGTAATATGCTGGCTCATCACTACTGTTCCCCATTCAAAAGCATTGGACTTCCTTTGAAAGTTTCAGTAAAAAGTAGAGGACATTGTTATTGCATTATTGATACAGCCATCTCATTTTTGGATAGCAAAGCAGAAACAGAAATCCTTTTGATGCATTAAAAGTGTCCTTCAACTGCATGATGACTGTTCTGTGGCCCTTCTCAACTTTGGGGAAGAAAGAGTAAACAGAATCAGGGGAAGGCATCAGGTATTGGTTGCTATTATTACATATGCATAATCCTAACTGGAGTTTTGCTCCTGTTAAATTAGCACTGACCTTAACCACACAATAGGTTACTAGCCATCCTTCCTCATTCATTTTTCGGCTCGAAAAGCCATGGAAAGAATGATGAATTTTTTTATTCAAGGGAGAATCTACCACAGTATAATCTTATCTTGTTGCCACAGGGCCCCTCCTCATTTGCTCCATCATCTGGCAGTCAGCAGTCAACAGAGCAGCAAGTGATTCATCACATTATCCTCCCTTCATTTGACATTCTTTGCCCAGTTCATTATAACCAGTGCAGATCAGGAATTTACTCATTTAGCCACTTAAAATACAGAATCATAGAATCATTTGGGTTGCAAGGGACCTTTGAAAAGGCCATCTGGTCCTACTCCCCAGCAGTGAACAGGGACACCTACAGCTACATCAGGTAGCCCCGAGCCCTGTCCAGCCTGACCTTAAATGATTCCAGGGAAGGGACATCCACTACCTCTCTGGACAACCTGTTCCAATGTCTCACCACCCTTATTGTATAAAAACCATTTTCCTTATATCCAATCTAAATCTTCTCTCTTTTAGTTTGAAACCATTTCCCCTTGTCCTGTTACAATAGACCCCTGATGAAGAGTCTGTGTCCCTTTTTCTTATACCCCCCCCCCCCTTTAAAATATATAATAGTTTTTCTTGCTGGCTTCAGTTTTTCAAACAATTTACTTTGACTTCAAGATGGTGCAAATCATTGTTCTTCATGAATGTTCAATATTCAATATTAAAAGTGTATGTCAAAATATGCTTTAAAAAAAACACTTATTTACTTTCTCTCTTCCCCTCCACTTCTGTTGCTCAAAAAAAAAATAATCCCCCCTCTTCCCCCCCAAAAAAAACAACACACTTCAGATGATGTATTTGCTTATGTACACTTAATCCTTTCCTGGTAAGTGAATCAATTCATCCCTGCATGGCTCTAGACTCACACACAGACCAGCCAAAAGCCCTGTGTAATGCTGTGGCACTAGTATTATAACTGCGAGGTTCTGCGAATGCAGAAAGCCTTACCTCTCTCTTGGAGGCTCACTTCTAGACCTTGATGAAACTTGCTTTTGCTCCAGGCCCATAGCTGGCTGCGATACGTCAGCTCCTTTCCTCTGATCGGATTGAACAGTGGAAGGAGAGATCTCCTGTGATGAGGCAGCTGCTGTACTTAAAGGAGTCTGTGATCTTGACCTCTCTTGAAGCCTGGCTTTCTTTTCTCTCGGTGCATCAGAGCTTGCACCAGTTGCCGTATCACTCAGTGTTCCATCCTGGCTGGGTGATGGCTGTGGTCCACTTCCAAAAAACCACGCTCCGGATTTTGTTAAGATTTCTTGTTGCTTTCGACATAAATTGCATACCCACATAACCTAGTTAAAGACAACAAGAAGAGTCAGTGCAGCTATCCCTCAGACCCAGGAGCACATGCTCACTCTGTCACGGTCAGCTACGGCTTCCCATTTCCTCTAAACTGATGAGGTTTGTGCTCATGCCAGTGCTCAAACATGCTTCTCCAAGCGCTACCTGCACTGGCCAGAGCCAGGCATCCTACAGGCACATGCTCTGCAAGCTTCTCCAAAATATGCTGTCAATATATGCCAGTATAGCAACCCTCCTCAGCCCAGCCCCAGCTCCCTCAATTCAAAGTGACTGTATGCTGGCTGTGGTGAGGTCCACCAGGCTGGGCAAAACCTGGAATTGGTTGACAGAGCTCTGCCCAGTTGCTCGTCCAGCCACTGCCACAGAAAGTGATACGGAATTTCCCTTTAATTTTTCTTTGTACCACATAACATTATTCCATAAACTCAACATTTACTGCATGTACATTTAGCTACGTCCGCAACAGCTACTTACCAGAAATGTAAGGAAGGACCTATATAAAACCTACTAATAGAGAACTCAATGCACCAACAGTATCATATTTTGTGCTACTTCAAAAGGACCAAAAACCATCTCTCTGATTTACAGTGATAAATCATAAGCAAACAAAGACCTGACAATCACAATTAAGCTGAATTCATCAGTGGTGCTGCATAGGATTTTTGCTTAAGTTTCAGACACAGAGGTAATCAGAGCACATACAATAGAGCAAGACTGGACATTTCAGGTCTACACACTACAGAACACAATCTTAAATGCAAGAATGAATCACCAGCAAAAAAATAAAAGATTCTTGAGCAGAATGAAGTCTGGGATTTTTTAAAAATTTGTTTTTTTTTTTAGTAGATGGGACAAAAAGAGCATTTGAAGTGAAGAACAAACACAAAATGCATACAGAATACATGAGGTAGGAATTTTTTCAGAAATAAAGCTAGAGATGAAAGGAAAGTAAGGTTGAAAAATAAAGAGGAAAATGGAAAAAAAAAAAAAAAAACTGAGTTGAATGTGGAAAGAAGTAAAGGAATGAGTGAAAAACGTTTAAATTATTTTGTGTCAACATAGGGATGATACAACTGTGGTAAAATGGTACAACACTTAGAATGAAAAAAAAACAGAAAAATAATCATAACAGGGATTATTTATAAATATATTTATGTATAAATATATAAAAATATATTATAAATATAAATATATTATACATACATATTTATATTATTATACAGGGAGGAAACTACAACAGGACAAAGCTCTGGCAGCAAGCAGTTATTCTCTAGCTTGGAAGGAAGCACATGCCTTCTATGGTAAAATCAAAATTTTAGACATTTAACACATATAAGATAACAGAGATTTATTTATGAAACACCCTGGAACAGATTGTTTTAAACTATCTGTTTAGGTGTGAAGAATACGTTACAACTTCCAACACCATTTCTCTACTGTTTGACCAAACCACACTGAGAAGACTCAGACTTTTCCCTGCATCTGGACCATTACATTTCTTCTATGTAGGAAGGATAGTAAAATACTAATTTAAGAACTTCAATTAATTAAAAAGAAAAAAGAAAAAAAAAAAAAAAAAAAAAAAAAAAAAAAGCTACAATTATTCCAGCAAAAAAAATACGTCTTACGTCAAAAATGGATAGATAACTCTCAGTAGGACAAGATGAGTAGCAAATTCATCAAAACAAATACTGGCCCTTGAAGAGAAAACACCCTCATTCCAAAATATTCTATTTCCTTAATCTAGAACGCATCTCAAAACAGCAATTCTGGTTATCAAACTGTATTAGCAGAATAGATTTCAGTCTGATATTATTATTATAGGTATTCAAAATACCAGCAAGGCTAAAAGGAAAAAGAATTTTCAGAAGCAAAAATGCCTTTATAGGCTCTGAAAAAACTGTTACCTCATTAGACAGCAAGTGTGTGCATGCACACACATTTATGTGTAAAATTTATGTTGGTGCTATAAACTCAAGCCATTAATAAAAAAATATGGCATGGCCTACATATCACTGACTCAGAGGGAAAGTTGAAAAAGACTTATGAAAAATTTAACAAAGCGAAGCTTGTGTAAAGGAATGGTAAGGAATACTAATATCAAATTGAAATATTCTAATTTTCTTTCATGTGGATGCAAGTATGCACCAGTACTTTAAAGGAGTAACAGACTTCATTTACAATTTAATGTATTTTATCATTTAAAACATGTATAAAATCATGTAATAAACGTCAAAAATTATCATTAATTTACATAATCACTTTGATATTTTAATTAGTTTTACAAAACTACTATAAAATCCAAACAAATAGGAACTGCCAATGCGCAAATAGATACAAACAAAAACAGAATACAAAAAGAAATACTAGACATCTAAGTACAAAGAAAGCATTTTCTCATGTCTTTAAATAGCACAATTTAGACAAAATACAAACCCATCACCACAGACTGCACAGACAGAATCTCGGCATTATACTCACAAGAAGCTACACTACCATCCCTCTTCAGGATTCTCTTTAGGAGTTAACAAATGCTACATTTGCCTTGAGATATATTCAGACCAAAAGAAAAAATAAAAGAGCTTTTCTTTAAAATGAAAAATAATAATAATAATAAAAACACAAAAACTTGAGGTGCTGTAACAGTTTCAGTGATAAAACCGTACACATAAAACCATTTTTAGAAATAAAAACTGTATATTGAAAAACATTTTTAGAGAAGTATGTGGAGCAAGCAATTTAGCAGCATGCAGGAATTATATCCTGATTGAATATACTGGGATGTGATCCAAACTAATCTAAACGAAAGCAGGTCTGTGTAATAACTTATCTTAACAATCCACAGATGTTAGGCAACCAAACAAATGCTCTGATGAAGGATTACAGTTCTCTAATGTAGCTTCTGGGCCTCCATGCAATGCATCAGTAAAATGAAGGGTGTTAGATTATCTGTTTTCCTCTGGCCTGTCACGTCAAAAGTAGTTTGCTTACTTTTTTCTGGATGGTGAGCTCTGATGCAGCACTATAGTGAGTCAATCAAGACATGTATAGAGGTTTGGGTTTTTTTTTGGTTTTTCATTTTTGTTGTTGTTATTGGGTTTGTGGCTGGTTTATAAACACACAGCTGCACACGAAGCTATTTAAGTGAACCAAGAAAGGAGTGCTCCTCATCCAAACAGTTCATGTGCACAGCTCAGGAAAATGTTCATTTGCACTGCACAGCAAAGGGATCTACTGCTTTACTGCTACACAACAGAAACAATGTGGCACATACGGAACTCAGCAGAGGTGGGTCAATTCCCACACAGATTCACGTCAAAAACTTCACAGGCTGCGTGAAAACATGCTAGAGGGATTCCATGCTTGCCTTCAAGTGGAATATGGGTTATTTCATTCACAGAAAAAAAAATTCCTCAAACTTACTCTTACAGGTACTGGTGATCCACAATGAGTAGGAACAGTATTCCTGTACTAACACAACATGAAATTCCAACTTGAAAGAGCCCATAGTAAACAATATATACAACCATGCACACAGAGAAAAAGAGCATTTTCAATTATGAAAATAAGAACACTTCTTTATGATTAAATATTTTAAAACTATATTTTAGAGTGAAGAAAAAGGCTTTTTCTTTCATATTCTAATTTGTAGTCTTCATTCCAAACATGCACTAGAAGGGAAACAAATCTTATACCAAATCTGTGTGCCTCCAAACTCACACTGAAGTTGCTGTGAACTCCCCAAAATTCTTTACCCAAGCCCAGACACTTATGAGGCTTCATTGTGAGTACAATCCTTCACCCTTTAAGAGTTCAGAAACGGCAAACTCACAATTTCACAAACACCCATACATCCTGCTTCATCTACACACAAGAAATTAGGTATAATTAGGTGCATTAATATAGCAGGCCAAAAGGCATGCTATACTGAACCTTCATACTATCAGAATTATTTCCCTTCTGAAAGATGTCTACACAATGCCTTTTCTGTTTATTGTGTTTATTTTGTTTGTGTTTCTTTAGCCACCTTCTTCTATATACCTCTAGAAGACACTAGTTGTTTCAAGCAGATCTAATTAGGCAGACCCTTTTCTCTGCTACAGACTCCATTAACTTCAGCAGAACTGTGCCACCATCCTACACCATTGCTTTAAAGTCAGAGGGAAGGAATGCTATCAATTTTTATCTCATGATACTTTCCATTCATACCATTGTGTTAAACTACATAACACTTCATTTTTCTCAGGTTACAGAAAAGAAGCAGCAAACGAATCAGTAAGAAGCACTGCATTCATCTCCTACTACATCAAATTGAATCCTGTAATAAAACAGTAGCTAAAGGGTTGTAACTCCTACACCCCATGAAAACATAAAGAAATGAAACTGAAAGTCTATTTCAATGCTTACATTCAGAAGTCCAAACTCTAAATAAGCAAACTATTGTATCTTTCTAATGAGAATGTGCTTGTGAAACCAAGCATTCATTAAATAAATTTTTCAAAATTAAGTGGGCAGCTGATTACATCCAATGTCTCTCAATCACCAAAATTGAAGGTTTCCTCACCATTTTTCCCCTCACTTGCTCTTCTTTCTCCCTATCCCAGTTTGTCCTCTCCCTTCCTTGCTTCCATCTTCACCATATCACACAATCCACTGCATCTTCTCCTTTGACTGTCAGGTCAAAATAACCAGCTGAACTTAAAAACATAGTAGAAATTAATCTGCATTTTTTTAACTGGGTTAATTTTTTGTCTCAGCTATCTTTCTCTTGGAGGGATATGATGAGCAATTAAAATAACGTTATCAAAAATTGAGTCAAATGGAGAAAAGATGTTTCTCCAATGCAGTGGCTTACCATCTCTTAGAAAACTACATCTTAAAACATCTCAAATACCAGCACATTATGCTTACACAAACATTTTTGAGCACTGAAGCAAAATGACACAAAACAATCTGCACTTATACTAGGATCTTCAAAGCAAGGTGGCTGCACGTTAATTGTCTCCTGGAGATGATCTCCGGAACACTCCAGTTCAAAAACCACCAAGAAAACTTAACTGATGAGGAAGTACTAGCGGGCAGAAGACCAACAGTAAGTCACGTAGCTTTCTGTCCGTTTGCCAGCTCAGAGCAGACCCAGAGTATATCTAATTCATTAGTGCCAGAAGTAACCTAGGAATCTAGGTCTTGCTTTTGCTGCAGCCTCCCCTCCGGAACAACAGTTCAAGAGGACAATTAATTCTATTTCTTGCCCCTTTGAGCAGGGAGGGGACTGCTTTGCTCACACTGATGCTCATCAGACATAAGGGGCTCAGCCATTTCAGGACTGTGATATATCACCATATTAGCACTCCCTGTTCTTCCACTCTGCGCAGAGCAGACTTGCTTCTCAAACTAGGATTTCTGCTAGATATTTTTATCCCAACTTTCCAAGAAAATGAGGCAGCTTACGCCAACAGCTGATTGGTTTCTTCCCCCTTTTCTCCTCACACTCCAACACTATTTTACACGAGGACAAATGCAATTACATTTTGCATAGGCACAGAAGTTTTCACGAGATTATATTCTTACAAATTTCAAGGAAAAAAAAAAAGGGCACCTTTGTAAATGCCCTGTAAACACCCCAGTGCAATCTTTTATCACCATCACAGAACACACATAGCAACTGCACTTCAAGAGATGCCTGAAAGAAGAGGACCCACTGTTAACGGGACTATTTGTCATCTTAAAATCTGCAATGCCACTCAGATATTTGACTTACAGCATCCACGAGGCATGTTTAAAAGCCCACCTCACCAGATTTTCCCACATGTACCAGACGTAGCGTTTCACATACTATTTCTGCTCACGTTTCACAGTTAACTGAAAAGTTAACTTTACAAATCAATCCTCATGTGTACAATTGAGGATGACAAGATGTCTGTGTTTACATGGAAATGTCTATTGGCATGACAGTTATTTAAGTTCTCATTTTTGTCAATGGATATCTAGTCAACACAGCCAACAGGATCCAACGAGAACACACTAACTGTCAAGCAGACATGATGAAATAAAATGAAACATCATGCTTAATCTAGGTTTGCACCACCAGAGACAAGTCAGCATATCCCAACTGGCTGCCACAGACCAATTCAAAGGGCATAAGCCTGCCACTACTGTTACAGCACATCTACCAGCCACGTACATGCGTCGTGTACCACAGGCCATCAAACAGTATCAAATGTGTACTTTTAGGTAACTGAACACTATATGAATCTCAAAAATCATAATCCTGCCATCCTAAGTTTCTAAATCTACAGTTACAAACTGTCCATAAAAAGAAACAGAAAATGCACAGTGGAGCAAGAAGTCTAGTTAATAGAAGTCCTTTTTATGTCAGTTTTGTTGATATATCTGCTAAAACAGCATTGCTAGTCATCTTAAGATAAAATTAAAATAAAAAACAATCAACTTCCTACACATGCATTGCTGCCAAAAGCTCTCACATACAGCTGCCAATCCTTCAGAAAGCTTCTGACAACTTCTACAAAGATTAAACATTTCTAGAATAACGCTGCAGTAAACTGATTGCTGGAAGTGATTAATTCAGGCAATATAAAGTTTCCATATGAAATATCTCTAAAATAGAACATAGCCAAGATCCACTCAGTATCACAATGTACTTCTCCGAGAATGCGTTTGGAGTTCAAGTGAGGAAGAAACCATGTTTGCTACTGGAGAAGACAGAGTTTCTGTTTAAAAATCCACACCAATACATTTACAACAACTTGAAATCCCCTCTACCTGCAAATAAGTCTGTTAAAATTGTGATTGTACAGCAAGAGTAGGTCTTGGGCAAGTCTATGAAACCTTGGATCCGAACTTCCTCGCAGCAATAGTTTTGAGTTTGATAGAACCGGTTTTATTTCTACCTAAACCAATCAAAAATTTACCAAACTTAGAATCTGACATAATAGGCTACTGCACCAGGAGAAGAGAATGAAGGAATGAAGGAAAGTATGACTCATCCTAACTGGCTAAAAACCAAAGAGGTTCAAGAATTTTTAATCATTTGCACTGTCTTCATCTTGTCGTAAGGATTTCGTTTTTGGAAACAAAGGATAACCCTCAAAAAGCTTAAGTGTTAGACAGTATAATCATTAATCATCCATGGGTCACAATAAGGCTTATACAACTTTTTTTTTCTGAAAATCAATAATCTGAAACATCTCAATGGTTTGCTTTCTCCACAGCTCCTGTAGAGGAAAAAACTGATCATCTTTTGCATATTGGAGTGCTCACTCCTTCTTTATTTTGTCCATACTATCTAATTCCACTTTGGAACTTTTACTTCCTCGGTAACTGAAAAATTCTAAGTACCAACAATACTCATAGCTTCAGAAAGCTTTACGATTTCCTCATAAATGAATTAATACATAAGTTTCTTTATTAAATGTACTGCTCTTGTCTGAATTAATGTAAATTTCTTTATTTATTTCTGATAATGCAGTAGCTGTAAATTGCTAGTCATGTTTTTTAGCAACCTTCCCTCATCATATACCATTAGAATACACTAGAAATAATGATCTCATCAATTATTTTCTGCATTTTCCTAACCTTCCTAAAAAAAAAAACAAAAAACTTTTGCCTAATTACTTGAACATTTGGCTGTCTTGATGAGCCAAAAAAGCATCAACTGCACTCTTATTCAGTTCATGGTTTCCATAGTTACAGATATACATGGAACACAGAGAAAAAAAAAAAATGTAAAAATGACAGAATTCCAACAAAATAAGGTAAATGGCACGAAACAGCTTACAGCTAGGACTAGTATCAAATTTTAGTTGTCAATCAAAAGGCTCAGAGAACTAACCAGAAGCTTTTCACACTACATATTCACTTCTGTTTTTGCAAAGCTTAGTAAAAATAATGCACAAAGCCAGATTATCATTAATAGTGCTTGAGAGCGTATATATTTTCTGCAGAGAGTTGCACCACAATATTATTATTTATACTTCTGTGATTCTCTTCTACACAAACTTTTATAAAAATATTCTTTTACACAAACTGTATTAGAAACAAAGAAGCAAGAGAGAATTTCTGTATCGAATGGAACATATTTTATGACAAAATAATTTGGATATACGTGTAGAAGTAAAGAAATTTTTAAAAAGTCAAAATGGAAACATAGGTAAACAGCAGAGTAGTGTTCCTGGAGTCAATAAAGCTCTTGGAAGGAACTCTGAAAGGAACTTGAAAGTGAGTCAAGTCATTGAGGTCATAGGTGACTTGATGGGCATAAGCTCGATCTTCATTTTGTATTCTCAAGTTCAAAGAAACTTAAACATAATATTATTGACGCCATCCTTGAAGGCATTCAAAACCCAACAGTACATGGCCCTGGCAACCTCATTCTGCTTTTCTGTGAGAAAGAATTTGGACTAGAAGAACTCCAGAGTGCCATTCCAAGACCAACCATTTTGTGATTCTGC